GGGAAATATATATTTTATCTACAGTACTTTGTTTACTTACCTGAAAGCAATACTTACCGGAAAGGTAATAGGCCAAGCCTGATGATGTAACACATTAGACAGGGGTGTCAAACTGCCGGCCCGTGGGCTGGACGCATCATGTGGAAGCCGCCCCCACCCCATTGCCGGCAATGGCAAAACTGTCCCGATACGTCACGCGACGTCACGTAACATCGCGAGTTTGACATGTCTGCATTAGACTGTTTCAATATATATTCTGTCTATGGCAAACATGCACAGGGTCTCTAAGTGCTTCCTCACTTGTTCCTGACTTGTTTGTCAGGAACAAAATGCCAGGAAACGTTCTGGATCTTCCTGAAAGCATCCCTGGTATATATGGTTCTTGAAATCTAAGAACCAGCATAATATATTGCTTAAGACCTCAGTACAACTCTAGAATTCACTGGTTGATCTTAGGTCATTTGCTCTCAGCCTAATCTATTAGGAGATAAGGAGATAATTAGATGATAATTCTTTATATATCCTCTTGAGCTCTCAGAGAAAAGGTAGGGAAATAAATATTACCACTGTATTAGGTAAATAAATATTACCACTGTATTAACATTTGAAATTTGGGGGAACGCCTGAGCATACCATGGGCAGCCAAGAAAACAAGCGAACGGATCATAAAACAAATCAACCCAGAGTCCTCACTTGAAGCAGGCTCAAACAATCATAGTTCTTTTCTTTCTGTTTTCTTTTTCAAAGCCTACAACCATTCATTTAGCAACAAAGTTAGTGGCACTGAAAAATGTGACTTCATACAAATTCCTGCACTTACAAATGCTGCAACCTCCCCCATGGACATGTGATCAAAATTTGGGCGCTTGGCAACTGGCACAAATTCATGAAGGTTACAGGGTCCCAGAGTCACGTGATTGTCATTTGCAACTTTCCCAACCAGTTTCCAACAAGGAAAGTCAGTGGGGGAAGCTGGACTCACGACCGTGGGATTCACTAACATGGCAAAAAGGTTATAAAATCAAGCTCAATTCACTTAGCAGCCATGCTTAGCAGTGGAAATTCTAGTCGTATGTTAAGGAACTGTGGTCATAAGTTAAGGAACACCCATGGACTCAAGTCTCTAGCTCCCATTTTTCCAGAGTGGTTTATAGAATAATAATAAAAATATATGCCAAGGTAGCATTCTAAAAAGATGCAACAGATAAGGAAAAAGATATAGTGCTTTTTAAAAAGCCTGAAAATTCAGAAAGCAGTTCTCAATGTACATAGTTTGTGTAATGGTAACAATCAATGATGGATGTGTATTGTTTTAGAGGCCCCAATGACATTAACATCTCCCACAGCCAATACTGTTCCTCACAGGAGAATTGGACCAAAGGAGTTCAGGAAGGGCCTTCAGCTTAAATTTTCAGGGTCTTATGAAAAACTGAACAATGATTACCTAAAAAACCAGGAGGGAAACGTGATTTGGACAGAAATACACTGTGCAAAAATTTGATAGCAGTCACTAAATATGCAAAGCATAGCTCAATAGCAGAAAAGAACTGAGATTTGATAAAACCCCAAATCAATTCTTTTGAGTTAAAATTGGCGGCCTATATATTTAATAAATAAATAATAAAATAAATCAAATGTAGACTTCTGAGTGCCATTTTATGATTTAATAAAATTGCAGGGGGAAAAAAGGCCTGATGTATTTCACTGTCTGATTTAGAATCTGTTTTGGTTACAGGTTTTCTCTCAATCAGTTTTCCTTAATCCTGGCACTTTACCGATAATATATATCAGAGGTCCCCAACCTTTTGGGCACCAGGGACTGGTTCTGTGGAGAGAGGTTTTTCCGCGAACCAGAAGGTGCATGATTTTGTGTGCTGCCTGCATCCCGTGGATGAGGCTTTGTTTGTTTGTGTGGACCGGTTGCTGGCATGCTGCAGCCCGGTACTGGTCTACAGACTGGGGGGGGGGGGGGGGGGGGGGACTCCTGGTATATATGATCTTCAACTTCTAGAATTTCTCAACTACAATTGTATAGCCATTACAAAAGATCTTGGGAGATGTAACCTCACATATGGAGGATGCTAATGTAGACCAAATGTGGTTTAGATACTTCAAAATGAAGTTTAATACAGAGTAAGTAAAATTGTTGTATGTCTTCTTCAGCTCTGGGAAATGGGACAAAGCAGCAAAAAATCCCGTTTTGGCAACTATTAAATCTGATGCGAATTGATTCTTCAGTTTATACTTCCCAAATTTATATTCTTTTGCACAGGATCAACTATGCAAGATCTTTTTTTTTGGGGGGGGGGTGTTAAGCCTCTTGCACCATTCAGCTAAAATCCAAAGAATAGCCTAATAAAATTAACTTGAGTTTTACTTAAAGACTAGTTTTCAAGTGTTGTGAAAAGATTAGACTGCTGGTTTTTAATGGCAACAGATCTGAACTCAGGGATATCACTTTTTGTAGTCATATGCTTCAAAGGCTTCCAGGCTGAGTTCTTGTTCAAGCAAGCCATGCTTGGTTGCTTTTAATCCCCATATTAATATGGACTTAAGGCACCACCATTCCCAGGAGAAATAATTATGAAAAGTCTTTCTTGAAATCTGCAGATGGTTTTACTCCCAACTGGCTCCTTATACATTTGATCAACACTTCACCTGAGAAACAATCTTCTACAACTGGAAAAGAGCAAACACAATGATTAAGGGACTAGGAAGAGCTACCCAAGGGGGAAAGGCCATAATAACTGGGGATTTTGAACTTAAATCAAAAGTAAAAGGAGATATAAAGCAAGGATTTCAACCCGTAAATGATGTGAACAGTGTGAACGGAGAGGTTTGTCTTTCTCACAGACATGTTTACATTTTTAAAACCTCATTGAAATTAAATGTAAGGAGAGGATAAATAACATTTTATGCAATGCATAATTAGCTTTTGAGATTTGCTGCCATTCAGGTGTAAGGATGGGCATCAATTTAGATAGTTGTAAAAGTGAATTGATAAATTCGCACAGGTCATCAGGTATGGTTTTCATGGCTTACATTTTGCTTGCTGCTATAAAAACGGGCTCAGCTGCATGAGCAAACTCTCAACATCTTGTTCTGTTTCCACCAATAATCCACAGCTCCTCCAAGAAAAGTTCAATAATCTCTTTGATCTCATCATTCAGCTTTGCCAAGCATAATTATTTTTCTAGTTGAACATTTGTTCATATTCCATGTCCAAAGTGCGTGAGGTTTTGCCTGCTGCTATTATTTCAAGGGAGCAATAAACCTTTACTTGGTCCATGACTGGTTAATTCATCTGTGGTCTCTGGTACTCTTAAGTAACCATCACAGTTCATAAACTAAAGATGTCTATTTTCTTTCCCTCTTTCTCAACATCCAGCTTTCATAATCATGTAAAGATCAATGCTTTATGTATAGTAATCTTTATTGTTAAGTATTCTTACTACCTTAATGTGATGGGAGGCTTCAGAAAATGTAATACTGTAATCCCTCAGTAGAAGTCTGAACTGCTACCAATCTTGATGGTAAAGCTGAAAAGAAGGGCCTTCTAAGAGTAATCTTAGTGGTGGTGAGAACAAGTAGAGCTTTGCAAGCAAGAGAGAAACCCATCTAAGAGAAGGAACTCCAAAATCAAACTTAGAACAAAACAATGGTAAATTCTGTATTGTCTAGAAAACTGTATGGGCATGTCCACAAATTGCACTAGTCGTGTATTGCTCAGTCATAATATTTTTCAATACATACAAATAAAACTCTTCTTGCAACTCTGTAAAAACATGAGATTTAACTAGGTTGACCAATTAATTAAATGTGAATGTATACCATCTCTTCAATCATAGGCAGTATATTTTAAATGCCATAATAAATAAATTAAATGCTGGGTAGCAGGAAAAAAAAAGAGCTACTCTCCTGAATTTCCTAATGATACCTGGTTGACAACTTTAGGCTTATAAATTTTAAAGCAAGGGCCTACTCAGAGCAATTAATCATTATATTAATAATTTATTCAAAGCCGTTAATGAAACTTCAGTATACGTAGCACAATCCTATGTAAATTTGCTCAAAACTGAATCTGATTAGCCTGAATGGGGTTTAAGCTTGCTCAGCATGCAATCTTACACTCAGGCTTCACGGATTTGTTAATTTATTTATAATATACATATCTCAAGAACTCCAGGCAGGCAAGATGATCATTTTCTTCCCACTTGATCCTCCAAACTCTTTTGAGATAGGTTTTGAAGAGTGGTGCCAATGGCCCAAGTTCACCCAGTGAATTTTATGGATAAGTGGGATTTTGAACTGCCATCTCTGTGATTCTACAACCTGTCAGGCTTTCCAGAAGAAGCTGGAAAAATGGATTCCTCTGCTCAGTTGGGGATACTAATACATAAATTCATTCCTATAAGCTCTTTTGCAGTACAAAAAATTCAAAGTTTTCTGATGGCCATGTACCGTGATTTGCCCCCCCACCCCAAATAAATCCCGCCTTGTGGGTTTGTTACCTTCATCGTTATCTCTCTGATAGAGGGCCATGCAAATAAATATTATGTTCTCTTTCACATGGCAGATAACCCACCTCCTTAATAGAAAGCTACAGATAATGGACTTAAGACTGGCACCGCTTCGCTCGTAGTGGGCCCACTGACTTCCTGACAAGGAATGAAAGCAGTTCAAAACCGTGGCTCTCATCAAAAGAAGTCTGGGGGGTGAACCCTAAGTGGACATTGCGACCCGCCACCGCGTATTTGGGGAGGCTTGCCCAGGGCCACTTTATGCGTAACTTCCTATCCGACCTGAACTCCGGAGCTGCCGGTTCTCGAAACACAACAATGAGGCGCTTCCTCCTCCGAGCCCTCTTCGGCCACAGCCGATCCCCGGGAAGAGAGCAAGCTAAGACGCGCTTTGTCGTCGCCGGCCCTTTCCTTCCAGCCCCTCCCCTGATCGCCCTCTGACTCTCCGCCGAGGCGGGCTAAGGGCGGAGGCTGGTGTTGGAGGGAGGACGGGGCGGGCGGAAGACAGGTCGACGTTGCCCGGGCCGGTGTCTTTCTGCTCCTGCTTTTGCAACGCCGTCATGGCCGCGGCTCTCCGTCCGGGCGCCTCCTCTGCTGCCGCCTGCCTAGCTCTGTTGCTCGGCTGTCTCGTCTTGCGCGGGGCTTCCGCGTGGGCGGACGAGATGGAGACGGAGGACAGCGACGACACGGACCCCCACACGCGGCACCTCTACAACGCCGAAATGCTGCGCCATGGCGTCCAGAGCGCACCGCACTTCATCATGTTCTTCGCCCCGTGGTGAGCGGCGTGCGGCGGCGGCGGCCTGGACAGGGAGAAAGGGTGCGCCGCGGTCCTCTCCCGGCTCTCGCTATTGTGGCAGCCGGAGAGAGAGAGCCGGTGAGGGCGGGATGCCAAGGGAGCCGCCGGGAAAGTCCGGGGCGGGAAGGGGGCTCCCTTTTCCATCCGCACCCCGCCTCGGTTAGCTTTTCCTCCAAACCGCGTGCCCGCCCACTCCCCCGCTTCCCACAGCCGCAGACCGTGCCAGGATTTGCTGAGGCTTGGGAGAGAGTTCACTTCCACGCAGGCAAATCTTTTCATCTGTCCTTGGCATTAGCTGGCGAGCTAAAGTTACTGTCTTCCCCAAAGGCGTAAAGCGCGCTTCTTCCGGGATCGCTGGCGTGAATGGATGAGACCCAAAGTGGGAAAACTTGCCAAAAGTGTCCCTGTTGTGTACATAAACATTTAAAATGAGGGGGGAGGGGGGCATCCTGGGATGTTTGTAATCACAGAGGCCGTCTTTTCTGACCTTGCCTTGTTTGCAAGCTTCCCCTTGGAAGAGAAAGGTCGATGGACTTGCTGTCCTGGTGGGGTAGGGCCAGGAGAAAAGGAAGGATACAACAAAGGAAACCCATCCTAGTAGAGTCAGTTTCTGAAGCCATCAGTTTTGACTGTAGTAGCTCATCCCATCCTCGAACACGTGCAATATTAGCTCCTGCAGAATTGAACCAAATGTATCAACCTTCGCCTTATGCAAATGGCATAGAAAGCTCAGCAACTTTAACAGGTGAAGCAGAGACATTCCAGGTTACACAGGCTACTTTAAAATAGCAACATCAGTTCCAAAGGTAAATAGATGCTCAACTGACAAAGTTAAATGTCTAGCACTGCAGATTGATATTCATGGAACAAAAGAAAAAGGAAAAAAAAACCCAGGGCAAGGTGATGATGGTGGTGGTGTTTGTGTGTCCATGTATGCACACTCCTTTAAGTTTTTGACTCCTGCTGACTGCTTGGATTAGGTCCTGCAAGGTTTTTGCCATTATCTTATTCCTAAGGCTGAGAGAAAATGATTGACCAAGGTGAACCAGCTGGTTTATTGTATAAGACCAGGACTAGAACTCAAGGTCTCTCATACCAAAGTTAAAATGATGGCATTCATAGGGCTGAAATCATGCATGTTGAGTTCCATCCTAGACTGTAGTAAGGACAGGACTTATTTCAACTCAGTAACTGGGGCTTAACTACAGGGAAAACACTGATGTCAAACATCCTTGGCAGGACCACAAAAGTGTCCTACTGATGACTTAAGTTTGGGAGCAAGTAGTCCTGGAGCTTAGGCCTAAACAAGGAAGGCTTCATACACCAATGTGATTATCTTTCACTGGAGGTTGATACTGGGATGATGCCGAATTGTACGATGAAAGCTTCGTCTCGGTATGTGACTGTTGTGAAATAGACAGATTTGTATTGATGGACATTATTTGGAAAGTACTCCAAAGTAAAACTGGCTGAACCTTATACAGTCCTGCTCACCCTCAGAAAGTGATACAAAGCTGCAAAAATGCAAGAAACACTGGACAAAATGATCAGTGACAGTTCTTCTATGAAAAAGGTTACAGTATTGAGCAGAGGTAGTCAACCTTGGCTCTTTTATGACTCGTGGACTTCATAGCTGGCTCAGGAATTCTGGGAGTTGAAGGCCACGAGTCATAAAAGAGCCAAGGTTGACAACCCCTGGTATTGAGTATACTTTTAGTAGAAATAAAATATGCAAAAAGGGTTCTTTTGCACAAAAAGTTTTCTTGCCATAAAATACAGTGATCGCCACAACCCTCTTAAAGCGGATTACACCAAAATCTACTAGTCACAATTACTATGTGTTATCCTGAGTATGACATGCCTGTCAGTACAATTTCTGGGAACCATGGCCTTATTTGTAGACACCCGTTTAGCCATTTTGAGAACAGAATACTGAAATGATTAAGCGTTGATTTATCTAGCAGGCTCTTACTGTAAATCCTTGTTTAATTACGGTAATTGAAACCGCCAGCTCTGTTGCTAAGTGACCCAGTCATAAAGCACAACTTCACGTGACTGTGCCGACTTACAAGAGAGTGGCGGCAGTCCCAGTTGCCATCCTCAGGCAAATCTCATGTAGTTGCAGCATCTCACAGTCATGTGATTGCCATTTGTGACCTCCTGCTAGCTTCCCCATTGACTTTGCTTGATGGAAGCTGGCAATGAACTTCACAAATGGTGAACATGGGACTCTGGGATATTGAGACTGTCGTAATTGCCAGCTGGTTGCCAAGTACCTGGATCTCAATAAGATGACCACCAAGATGCCACAATGGCCACAATTACAAGGAATGGTCATAATCTCCCTTGTTCAGCATCACTGTAACTTTGAATAATTGCTGAATAAATGGTTGCTTTACAACAGGCATGTCAAACTCGTGACGTCACATGACATCGCACGACATATCGGGACATTTTCCCCATTGGATGTATTCCCTGAAAACTTAATTGCTCTCACCCCGTCCCCCCAAAATCTAGAACCTGTTTTAACAAGTAATGTGTAAGCTGCAATACATGTGCCCATAGGGCTTTCTGCCCCATCTCTCTGCCTTAAATTTGAGTTGGTATTCCATAGAACTTCATTTACAATATGCAGAATTACTTATTAGCAGGGCTTTTTTTTCTCATAGAATGCCCAGAACGGAGTTCCGGCACCTTTTTTGGCTGGAACCTTGTAGGGTAGGCAAGGCGGGTTGTATGACGTGTGTGAGTTCCAGCACCTTTTTTTTTTTTTAGAAAAAAGCACTGCTTATTAGGAATATAACCAAACTACTTGAGAAGCCATAAACTATTGTATCTCCATGCAACAATTATTTGTATGCTAGTTTCTCTGAAGACAACTGTAACTTTTCCAGTAAGGGCAGACAATTAATTATGTGTTCGTATCTTTTCTTAGATTTGTTTTAGAGCAAGAATGGCAATACAGTATATACAGAGTTGTGTTCCTAATTTAAATGTTATCTAGGAAACAGGTTTTCTAGATCCAATTTCTAGTAGCCAGCATTGATTTTTGTAACCTGTTTAATGGGAATTGTTTATAAGTTCTGATTCTTGTATTAGTTTAAATGAATTGTATATGATATTCTCTATGTTTCCACTTCAAAGTTAATTTAAAGATGGAAAAATAGATGGAATTTTTTACTAAATAATGTGTCCAGCCAATCCTATGTTCATCAGTTTGTCCTTAGTTTCTTTTTTCTGACTTTTTCCAAGGGAAATAAGCCAGATTCCACGGCTCAGACAACACACTAAATCAGTGTTTCTCAACCTTGACAATTTTAAGGCATGTGGACTTCAACTCCCAGAATTCCACAGCCAGCAATGCTGGCTGTGGACTTCTGGGAGTTGAAGTCCACATGCCTTAAAATTGTCAAGGTTGAGAAACACTGCACTAAATGAACCATGGATAGAACCAACCATATTTTTCAGCTGTACTTGCTTGTAGGAGGAGTCAGCAGATGTGACTCAGAGCACACTGCTCATTTGCTTGTTTTTATTTCCAAGGGCTGCTGGGGAAATAGGAGGTGACATGGAGATGCAGTTTGTTAAGGCACATGGTAAATATTTGTGAATGGGGCTTTGGGGACATTATGGGTAACCATAATGTGAGCTCTGCCCTATCCAAAATTGCTTTGAGGTGAACAAAAGAAACTTGGGAAGTACAGTAAAGAGTCAATAGTATATAAATAATACTATTTGAATAGCACAGTATTTATTAGTTTGGGAGTGAGTCAGGCCACCCTAAAGTAAGGGGAAAAACCAACTATGTTGAAATATATCAGTTTGTCAACTGAAATATTTCCTTAAATGGGGAAAAAATAGAGTCTAACAAGGATATTTTCTTGATGGCTTCTTGGGACCTAGAAAATACTGCAGGAGTCAGTTGCAGAAATGAAAAGAGAACAGATTGAATTGATTGGCTTGTACTGATGATATTACCTAGTTGGGTAATGAAATGTCTGCAAGCAAACTACGAAGCTCAGCAAGCACAGAGGACACTCCCCCCGTCACATAGTTCAACCTGAGAAACAGATTCTGCTATTGGCAATCCTAACAGTTTGTAGGGGTGCAAACTTTATAGATAGTCCCTTATAAAACCCTGGATAAGAGATTGAGGTTTGAAACACAGATTTTTGTGAGATTTTGGGGTGGGGAGTGCAACCCTCACAATCTTTCCCTCATAATATTAGATTTCAGAAGTGAGAAACAGAGACGGACATAGAAAGTTTGGAGTGGAGGGGGAAAAATGAAAAATTTTGCTTGTGGAATTATTCAGTTTGCAAATTTATATTCTATCAGCTCTGGTTGTTCTAAGTTAATACTTAGAGTTTTATTAACTACATGGCTAGAATTTTATTTTGAAAGTATTGACTACACCCACAAGAATCCCTAAAAACACAATTTTCTAAACCAAACAGCCCGGCATTCTGTTTGTGATTTTCTTAGGTTTTCATAGCTCAGGTAGGAAAGTAGATAGAACTGGCTCTAAAAACATTTATTTGTAATGTCATTGATACAGACACAAATAGGAATTCAAAGAGCTGGCCTAAAGTATTTTGGCATATGAGACATAATATTTCAGTGTCAGCCTTTCCCATAACCATCTAATTGCTACTCTTAAAATAGTGTCCTAGATTTCCTTCTTGAGAAAAGTCATTCTAATGACAAGGACAGCTTTGTGAGATCTACACTTTGCAAGAATAAAATAGAATGGTATAAGGATGGCATGTATAAATTTGATTGTCAATATTTCTGCTTGGTTCTCAGCATTGATGACTTTATAGTCGTAGTATAGTAGTCTAAAAATATATCAACAGTACCTTTGGGTAAATGAGAATGGTGAATCAAATAATTCAAGACTTGGGGGGATAAAATGTGTAGATCGAAACAGTTTTTAGATTCTATAAAAGAAATAGTCCATTCAAGACATGGTCAAATTTTCACATCAATAAAATGGGAAAATTTGAGGTAGACCAGGATGAGTGTGTGTGGGTGCACCTAACTCTGTTGTAATTGCATGATGCATATTCCTACAAAGGATAAATTTCTGCCATATATAGGCTATATTCCATTCTATACAAACAGCAAAACTTTCTTCTGCTTTTGTACCTCCTGCAACCCTCTCTGCATGACTTCAAAATCTACTATGAAAATTGGGAGGCTATGGCAGATTTTGGAACTCATATGGCGGGTCATGGTGGAATAGGAAATCATTGTCTGCCCTGTAATTTTACCAGCAAAAATTTCTTCTACTGAATGAACATAGTGTATTATTCCATTAGATCTTGTTCTGCTAAATTTAACTTTCCCCATGTGAAATCACAATCATTTTGTATCAATCCTGAAGTTTTGCTTTGATTTCATTCCATAATTTGGTTGCTGTTAAAATTGCTTTTTTATACAAATATGACACATTAGCAATGGGAGGATTTAATCTTCCCAGCATCTTGTTGGCAAACCTTCAGTGAATTCTGACCTCTTCTGTGGACAACTATCTCTTTTATGCATCTTAGACTTCAAGAAAGTAGATTTTAATAAACTTCAATTATTGATAAGTAGAATGCCATAGTAAGAGATTGCTTATGAAAAAAAAGTGGTCAGTGTTTCTTTAAAAAGAAAGAAAGAAAAGGAGATACTATAAAGCATAAGCATAGTTAACAGAAAGTTCCAGTGAGGGAAAAATGAAAAATGAAAGTTCTGAGGTCATTGAGGAATATAAAATGAGGTCTTCAATTGAGTTGGACTTCTGATGTCTTATGTGGCCACATCCATGCAAAATATTGCTTAGAGAAATGTGAAGAAAATAAATTTAGCAGAAATGATTGGAGAATTTTCTTAGGAAACAAAAAGAAAATGCTCAGGTCCGAGAGGAATGCCTATCTTGGCAATATTACTTGTGGAAAAGGGTTTTCAACAGAAATTGATTATGAACTAAGTATGAGTCAATAGCATGATGTAGTCAAAATAATAAATGCAAATTCAGGTTCCCACAGAAAAATTGTTGCCAAACAAAGTAATAATTCCACTATTCTGCATTCGTTAGATTCTGCCCTGAATATTGTGTCTGGTTTTGGGCACATTTTAAGAAGGATTCAGAAAAACTACAAACAGTTCAGAGAAGGGCAGCAAGGGTGATCAGTATTAAAAATTAAGTCCTGGGAAGTGAGAATGCTTATCTTAAGAACTGTCTGATATCATAGCACTCTTCAAATACCTGAAAAGAAAAAATGTGTATGTGCATTCAAGTGTTTGTATGCCACTCTTCAAAACAAGAGTTCTATTACCCAGAAGAAAATCAACACTTGATTTTTGTTGTTCCAAAGGGTAATAGAATTATGGAATTATTAGAAATATAATTATGGATGCAAGGTTCCAAGAAAGCCACTTTTGTGCTTCACAGCACATTTTCTAATACTAAGGACAGTTTGACAGTGGAATCAATTTCCCAAGATAGGTTCCTGTTACAGGCTAGATAGTGTAGCTATCAGTTACAGATGCTTTATCCTGGATCCATTCGTGCAGCACATAATTGGACTTGATGACCTAAGTGGATCTTTCCAGTTTTGTAATTCTATGAAATACTAATACTATATTCTTCAATAGAGTTGTATGGTAACACATCCTACTACATTCAATGAGACTTGCTGTGATAAAGTTCTAGAAACTGTACTTCATAATTTTCATTGTAGCCATAGCTACTTCTTCATTTCTTAAAATGTTGATTTTTAAATTATTATATTTTAAAAAATATTATAGCAAAGATTGTGATAACTGTATTTATTTTCAAATAGTCAGTGCCATGTTCATCAACCAAAATATCCAGAGGTTTGTTTTTTTATGATTTTTTATCTTCATTATTGCTATCATTCTTCAGTTCTGTTCCAGAATAATTAATTTCATGAAGTCTTTTTTTCTCATTTGATCTCCATGTCCACCCCACTCACCCACGACTTATAGGATTTATTTCTTTATGTTAGTTCACTAAGAAAGAAATAGACTGAATTAGAATAAAAAGGGAAGCCTGTTTCATGTATTTTATAAAAAGCACTGAAAGTTCACAGTAACATACTACTGTATTTATTATATTTAGTGCCATATGCTAAATAAATACTATATTTAGTTATTAAATAAAAATGTGAGGTTCTAGGAACTTCAAAGAATGGGGATGGACCTGTGGTTTCTCATAAGATCTGCTGCTGAGTGTTACTTAAAGTTTTGTCAGACTTGCAAAATTTCAGAACCATTCCTGGATTTTCATTAGTTTAACAGGAATGCCATACTGAACCAGAATAGCTATTGTCTGGTTGCTGGCACCCAAATTCATAGATTTTAGACATTTAATGTGGAGGTATTTATAAGTTGGAAGAGAGCTTCTGATTCTTTCTTATGTGTTCCATATTCAAGACACTCTTTAAAACATTTTCTGGGTTCAGAAAAATCTTGCCCTATGTAAAGGAGGCTGGGACAATTACTGTCAGTCAAAACAATAACTGTATGAAAATTAAATGCAACAGAACCAAATTTGATGTGAAAAGCCAGCAAAATAAAGATTGATTGAGCTCGGAATTGGTATAGATCAGGGGTGTCAAACTGCCAGCCCGCGGGCTGGATATGTCATGGCGAAACCGCGCCCACCCCATTGCCAGCAATGAAAAAGTCGCGATACGTCGCGACACGTCCCATGACGTTGCAAGTTTGACGCCCCTGGTATAGATCAAACTGGGGGCTATGGAGAAAATAAAATAAAATAATCCCTATCTCCTCCCTTTGGAAGTGACTCAGGATCTTGCTGTCTGCTCCATTCTAATAGAGCTTTCAATTCACAACGAATATACCTTGAGATGAAATGGTTTGCTGCTCTAGTATAACTTAAAGACTTAATTGATATTTCCTGATAAGTCAAAATGTTATTGCGGGCAGTATTTCTCAGCCTTGGCAAGTATAAGATGGGTGGACTTCAATTCCCAGAATTCCCCAGCCATCCTTGCTTGAGAAATACCAGCTCAGGGAAAGCAAAGGACAAAGTAAAAAGAAGGAAAGAAATCAAAGAACTGATGCATAGACAACAGAAGGTGACAGTAGCTCCTTAGGGCAAACAAAACGCATAATTTCTAATTAAGGATGGAGGGCTTTTATGTCTTTGATTAAAGGAAAACAATTTGTCACATACTATCCATTCAGAAAACATGATGGTTAAATGAAATGCTAACTGTTTAAAACTGAATGACCCTGAAATAAATGAGAGGCTGAATATAGTACCTTCCTCTTTGGTTACTGTGCTGACAGGGAAAGAGCTGAAGAGAAGAAATAATGCCAGTCAAAAAACTTTATCGATTTCTTTTTGTTTTTGTTTTTGTTTTTTTGATGGCAGCAATGAGTTTTTAAAATATAGACATTCAATCAATGGTCAGTAAAGTAAAAATTTACATTGTGTTTATCCCAGAAGTAGATATAAAAGAAATGATGTCGCTTTTATTCCAATGGACTGGTTTGTCAAATCAAGTTTATCAACTAATGTAACATTAGCAATAAAAGAAAAACTGTAATCTTATATTTAAAAAATTCTGCCAAAGTTTGAAGGAACCAAAGGATTTTTTTTAAAAAAAAAATGAACCTGGATAAAGACCTACCTTCTATCCTTAGATAAAATCCAATGTATGGAAGAGAAAATATAAGTTAGATATCTGTAGAATTCCTAATGTCACTAATCTCAATAAAATAGAATAGTAGATTCAGAATTGTTGACAACTTTTTCACCAGGATATTTTTTTAAAAAAAAAATTGCAGGTGTGGGCATTGCAAGAGTCTTCACTCAACTTGGAATGAACTTGCGAAGAAATACAACAACATGGATAATCCACAGGTCTATGTTGCAAAAGTGGACTGCACTGCAGATACTCCAGTGTGTTCTGAACATGATGTCAGGGGATACCCAACGTATGTGTAAAAAAATAATACTGACTTTATGTATTTTCCCTCAGCTCTTACTGATCTGAAAAGAGCTTCTGAATGTTTATTTTGTAAATACATGACATTCTGTATTTGTATAAATTCCTTCCCTTTCTTTGAATATACCACGTAAGTAGCAATAGGTTATGCAACTGTAAAACCAGAGTACCTGCAAAAGTCTCTATAATATCTGTTGCCTTAATTATTTTGCTCGCTGTAGTAAAAGCAGTATAAGATGATAAGAGCAGTGATGTGCATGCAATATTTTCATTACCTGACCCTTTGCAGTGTATAGTAAACAAATGTTTCTTACCTGGGTTTGGCACAGCTGTGCAAATATACCACAACAGTTTTATAACTAGCAGAAAGTAGACGAATTGCTGTAATAGACTAGGACCAAAAAACTATTAACCATTTTCTTACATTAAGAAACTGTTGCTAAATCAAGATCAAAACAGCAGGGAGCCAGGAAATTTAGGGTATAATTCCAAAGCTCTGTCTAAGGTTCTTAGCAAGGGCTATTAGGATAGAGTCAGCAGAAATATTCCTCTCTGAAGACCTCCCCCCCACCCGCCCTCTCTTTTGTAGAAGTTTCATAAATTCATCCTGGCCAACCTGTATTTGGTGATATCATGTTTTCCATTTTGATTTATAGTAAACCATCCACTATTTTATTAGCAAACCACAGGTAGAAGGATTTGACATGTAACAGCAGATCACACTTAGTTCTTGAGATCTGTTTTTTAAAATCTATTATTTTTATAAATGCTAATATAAGAATGATGGCAAATAATTTCCTAATTACAACAGTAGTGAGTTTTTCACCTAGAGAGTTAACAGCTTAATTTCCAGTTTGGCTACCTTGCAAGCCAAATAAATACCAGAGCAGATCTGGTTTATCTCTGCCATATTATTTCAGGCATTCTGTTCCCATTTTTTTTAATATTTTCTAAGAAAGATACAAACACTTTAAAGGGAATTGCATAATGGATCCAAAGTCTGAGAAAAAAAGGGAATATGGATACTTTAATAACATCATAGGCAACCATCATTTTCCTTGTAAACTAGAAATCTGAATCATTTAATAGCTTAGTTTAGAACAGAAGTATACTTTATGTTTTAGGGGCAAAGAAAGTTTATTGATAGTGCCTTCATGGGAGTTAACTTGGCTTTTGTCTTTGCTTTAAAAGAGCTTTTGTAAGTCTACAGAACAATGGCATTTTAAATTTGGAAAGTCCAAGGCTGTGCTATTGAAATTAACGGAAATGTTAGAATTAATACTAATAAGCCATTGTGAGGAATGTTGTTTGGGATCCAATATAACCTGATGATTGTTTTAAAAAATGTTTCAAGTTTAGATGACTATGAACCTATTTTGCTTATTGTTTTCTTAAATTTGCAGTCTAAAATTACTTAGACGACACCAAGAAGATGCAAAATATCAGGGACCTAGAGAACTTGAGTCACTAGAGAAATGGATGTTGAAGACATTAAGAGAGGGATATGATGTAAGTAATCAGAAACAGTCCTTATTCAAGAGACAATATATAGTTGAACTGTTAAAGGATGCTAGTAGAGCAGTGTTTACATTTATGGAATAAAATTTTATGAGCCCAGGAATCTTATCTTTATGGAGATGTGAGAAGAATATTGAAAGAGAAATTACTTTGGCTAAAATTCAGGGTAACTCAAACACAGGATTTGCTGTCTTCATGACAATGGGAAGAGGACGCTTACAGTAGAAATTGAAATAAATAAAATTTGACCCATTGTTTTCTTTACTGGACCAAAGACAAATTACTTTTATATATCATAAAGAAACTACTCCCCAAAGGAGCTGCTTCTGTGGTCAGCCTTTCTTCATTTTTCTTGAAACAAGGTGGTTTCTGAATTTTAAGTTAGGGATTTCTCCAACTTCACTACCTATAGCTATGTGAACAGGGAATTCTGGGTGATGTGGTCCCAGGACATCCATTTGTGAAAAAAAAATGCTGTAGGGAAAGAGGATGTCTTCATTTATAATCATGCCAAAGTTTGGCCAAACTGACAAAAAAAGTTGCAAACCACGATCATGAGACTGTGCCATCTGCATCCAGTTGTAAATCTGAGCTGGTTGCCAACTACCCAAAATATGATCACGTGACTGGGGGCAGAGAGCAGCAGTTGTAAGGTCCAGTATTTCAAGGATGGGTTGTAAGTACATTTTTTTAAAGTCCTTTGTAACTTTGAATAGTTATTAAACAACCAATCAAAAATCTAGGACTACCTGTAACTCTATTTTTTTGAAGTTTAAGCATGCTGTTTTTTATGTTCTTTTTCTTGCTGCTAAATATAAGGAGGAAGAACCTAAATTGAAGCGATCAAAAGCACCTGATATAAAGCAAGGTCTTTATGAGCTCTCAGAAGCTAATTTCAAGCAACATGTAGCAGAAGGTAATTTTATTTATTTATTTATCAAACAAATTAAGGAGAATATATGTGGCTCAGGATTGAAATGAGGGGTCCTTGGTGCTTTCTGAGCTTGGTTGTTTTCTTGCAGACATTTCGTTATCCAAACTAGATAACATCATGTAGTAAGGAATGGGGTTTGCTCTCAATTTATATTCTAGTGGATTGCCCTATCAGTGTTGGTGGGAGTGGTCTTGGAGGTTCTTTGGTTGGGCCGTTTACTGTTATCTTGTTTGACAATTCCTTGATTGGGGTATTGTTTACTTCTTGATTGTTCGTCTGCTGTTGATCCCATAGGTGTACCTTTAATTTGTTGACAAATTTGTCCGTCGAATTGAAAGCATGTAGTTAGGCAGAGGTTGATAAGATCACCACTTTCAAGACTCATAGCAGAGGTTGTAATGCAATATCTAGGATCAATAGCAGTCCCACAAATACAACACAAATATGGATCAGATATGTAGATGACACCTTCACCATAATAAAAAAAAATGACCATTGAGACACCACAACACCATCAACATCTTCAAAGGAATCCAATTCACTAGGGAAGAAGAAAATAAATTGCTACCTCACTACCTGCTGATCAGGATATCCTGGATATTAGGATAGCGCACAAACAAACTAAAACCCTCCAAAATATCCTAAATAAACCAAAAGACCCAACAGCCCCAGAAGAAAAAACAGGAATCACCTACAACATATAGTGTAAAGACTGCAACTGCCATAGAACAAATAAGCAGAAGATTAACTGAATACATCCACAAACATCAACTAGCAGGCAGAAGACATGATGAAAACTCTTTAATTTCACAACATATGGGCAGACTTAACCATAGTTTCAACTGGAAATGTGACCATCCTAGACCAAGCCAAGTCCAAAAACACTAAAGAATTCCTGGAAGCCTGGCAGTCTGATAAATAGGCCATCAATAGACCCATAGATATAAACAACATGTACATACTGTGCAAAAGAGACAATCAACAAGCCAAAAAGGGAACAAAAAGACCTAAACACCTCCCCACCAGCATTTAACACCCAGTTGAGCATAGATTAACACCAAAATTAACATCAGACCAACAATCAAGAAGTAAACAATACCCCAATCAAGGAACTGCCAAACAAGCTAACAGTAAGCAGCCCAACCAAAAAACCTCCAAGACCACTCCCACCAATACTGACAGGGTACAAGCCACTAGAACTGAGAGCAAGCCCCATTCTTTACTAGCTGTTACCTAGTTTGGGCAATGAAATGTCTGCAAGAAAACAACCAAACTCAGAGAGCACCAAAGACCCTCATTTATCAAACTTAACATTGTGATCATTGATATTGAATGTTCTTTTTAATGTTTCATTTTAAAGAATATTTAATTTATAGTATCCCATAATGAAAAAAAAATTGGACCAGACAGCAATTTAACACAGGCCTTCCACAATCTGATAAATAGTCTGATTGTAGCAGTTGCTCCATTATTGAAACATTTAACAATGTTACATTCCATGAGTTGTGCCGTCCTGTGGTCTAGCTTTAATCAGTAGCGGTGGGTGAATCCTACTCATTTCTCACCTTAAGGCTGAAGTGGGAGCAACGGCTGGCTATTCTGTGGTGTGAATGGCAGTTCAGTTCTGAATGGTATTCTGAAGGGCTTTTCTACTTTATTAAATTTATGCCACCCAATGAGTTATTAGTTGCAACGTGGCTGGAAAAGATTTCATTTCCAGTATCATCCTCCATTGAATTCACCAGCAATTGCTGCTGTCATCCACCCAAGCAGATCTATAAGATTTAAAGAGGAATGTAACTGGAAGTTCGAAGGAAAATTTGAGAATTAAGCTACATCAGCAAGTGTTAATTCCTGCTATTTGAGGAAACTTGACCGAGAACTTTGAAAAGATATATACCATTATAAGGCAGGGGTCCCCAACCCCCAGGCCGCAGCCTACTACCGGGCCTTGAGCCGTTTGGAATCGGGCTGCAGAAGTGGTGGATTCCATTTGCACAAGCAGCACATGCACTTGCCTGCCCCTTGCGTGGAACCATCTCCTCTTCCCCTCCCCCCCAACTGGGCCACAAAGCCAGAAAGGTTGGGAAATTCTGTTATAAGATGCAGATCGGGAAAGGTGACTTTCAAACAAATACTCTCCTTTTTAGTGAATTATTAGGATGGAGAAATCCAGAGTAAATCATTAAGAGTATTAAGTATAAAGCTAGAAGATTAATGTGTAATGCAGGAATATAAAAGTGTGATTTTTTGAGAATGGAAATCTAAATATGGTCTAAGCCAAAGACTTGCCTCTTCTTGAAGCTTTACTGCATAAAGAAAGGTACGTAATAACTCAATGAATGAATACACTCTTGTTTTGTGTGAGAGTACTACAGCCCTTCTTTTCTTTTAAAGGCAATCACTTCATCAAATTCTATGCTCCTTGGTGTGGCCATTGCAAGGCATTGGCACCTACTTGGGAACAGTTATCTCAGTCCCTTGAACAGTCAAAGTCCGTCAAGATTGGCAAGGTAAGTTTGATTGGCAAGGTAGTTCAGTCTTCTTAAATTGAAAATTAATTACTTTGGGAGTAGCACTGACAAAAAAAAAGAACACTGTTTGCTTCATAAACTACAATTAACATTATCAGTTCCCATTTTGGAATCTTTCATGCAAGCTATTCACGCACCATAATTCCTGAATTTACTGGAGTATCGTGTGTTAGTCAAAACGCACTTGCTTGTCCATTTGATTGAGATTGATTGATTGATTGATTGATTGATTCCTAGGCTTCCTGAGAAGTAGCTTTAGCAAACAGCTTATCCTGGAGAAATTCTTACTCTTTATAAGAAGTCTCATGAGTAGTTAATACAAAGACAGGGGTACCGTAGGCTTTGTTATTTTAAAAGAAGGAAAAAGCCAGCTCTGCAGCTTACTTTTATGACTGACAGTCCTGTTTTCATTGTAGGCATTTGCTTTCAGGTATTAGAACCACTGAAAGGAGTACAGTTATATTGTTGGCTTTCTGATGGGGGGAAAAACCCTGCTGCTGGTCTTAGTATTCAATTGGGTGCACTGTTAAAGTTGAGAAAAAATTCTCAACCATACGTAAGAAAGCCCCTTTAAAAAAATGTTTACCTTCTTTAAAAATACAGTTTTGGGTTGGTAATTTTTTTAACCTTTTCTCTGCTAACTTCTTTTTCTTGTTTCATGTTGCTCCTCACTTATTTTCTTTCTTACTGAGTCACTCTTTAAGCCACGTTGTTTGGGAATTATAGTCCCTATGGACTAGTCTGGGGAAAGCTGCTTTAAAATTTGTTGAAATCAAAAGTATTTAATTTGGTCTATTTCCATTGAGTTCAATAGGCTTGAAAGTATTATTTGCTTGACCTGACTATCTTATCTCATTTCATCAGAGCATTAGGCACAGAGAAATGATTGCTTTTAAAGTAAATAAATTAATTTCTTTCTCCTCCCTGCTTTGGTCAGATAGAAACCATAATTTCTGTGCTTAATACATTTAGATCTTCAGAGTTAACTGGAGTTGAGCAGCATCCTGATTTAAATGCATACAGGCTCATATTTATTAAAGAGCTGATAATTCAACAATTCTGCTGATAATTCAACCATTCGACTTTTTATGAAAGTTTTTTGGTTATTTATTTTCCCCTTTCCATTTTTTTTTCTAATTTCAAAGTTAAGGGTTGTTTTTTTAAACTTTAATTTATAAATTGCTACCATTTTTTTTCCCTACTCATTTTTCTGATTTTATATCCTGGTTTTTCTTTCTCCATATTTCTAGCTCTTATCCTTAATTATTTCCCTATGTATGATTCCTTACTTAACATTTTTCTTGTCTTCAAGATTTGCTCTCATCCCTTTTTTATTCTGATAAATTCTACCATTACATTTTAAATCTTATGGTTTTGTTGTTCATATCTTAACCTTGATTGTTCTGCTACCAACTTTTCTGTTCAGTTCCTATTACTACTTTTGTTGGATGCTGTTAATGCTGAAGGATGCTGACAAAATACACAGTAGCCAGTCACCTTTCTTCTCAGCCTTTGCCCCTCATCACTCATTATAAAGAGTGCTGGTTCTCCTAACCTCTTTGGCAGTTTTTTATATCTTCTGCAGAAGACTACTGTAGTTGACATCTCAGTTGAGCAGAGTTCTTAAACACTGTCTGAAAACACTAGGTAGTACAAAATATAGCAGCTACAGAAATAACAAGAACTGGGTTATTAGGATCATATCATCCCAATATTTCAGTCTCTCTCTCAATTCATTTCTGGATCCATTTCAGGCTTGTTAAGCCTTTCATGATTTGGGATCACAGTATCTTATTTTGTATATTCCACTGAGCCTTGTAATCATCTTTGGAGGGTCTTCTTTGGATGCCCTCTCCCCTCAGTTTGAAGTGTGGGGTGCAGCTGCTAAGAATACGCATGCATTCTCAGAGCTGTCTTGCAAATTCCCAGAAAGGCATATCTCTTACTTTCTAGCTCCAAGCAAAAATCTATTTTATTCTCCCAAGCCCTATAACTTTAAATTAAACATTTAATGCTTACCTATTCTTTTAGTTAATCTTACTTTTTATGTTTCAGTCTGTGCCATTAGTTTAAATTGTTTTCTTTAATAATTTTAAGTTCTTAATTTAAATATTTAGACTCCAGTTTTTATCATGGCATTTATGTAATTGATTGTAAGTTGTCTTGAGGGAGATTTTTGCTCTGTTTAGTGTCTCTAATGATCTTCATTGTGTCATAACAGAAGAACAATTGTCAATTCTCCTTAATTGTTGATTTTTTTAACTTACTGTATATTTACTTTTGATAATCCTATTTCCTCTTTAGTCCTTACCCACTATCATTAGTGTTTTTTATCCAAGTCTCTGTATTACAGAAAACAAGCATAATCTGCTGAATTCAGTTAGATTTTCTAAAAAAAAAAAATTAAACTTCTATATGAAAGCAAATATCCCCAAGCATGATTTTTAGTGATATGCTGCCTCTAAACACAATGTTTGTCTAATATTTTCCATTAAATTAGGCCTGTTTCTGCTTTGGAGGTGGCTCTATCATTGTCTCAAAATCAGTGTACACAAGACAGGATTTGTTTCCCCTTAAATTGTCACTTTCATCTTCTTTTTCTCTTTCAGTCCCAACTTAATTCTTCAGTCTTCTCTGCAAGTTGAGTTTTGGGCATATTCTCTCTGATTCTTCTTTGCCTTGCTTGGCTCACATTACTACTCTAGCTGAGGTCTGTCTATTCTCTTTATAATGCTTTAAAATGTGCATTTTCTTTTCAAAAAAACATTCTTCATGCCATGCTGATTACACTGTTGTTTGTCTTCCAGACTGCTTGATTCTCATCTTAAATCCATTATAGCTTTCTTAACTCTTCACTCGTTTAGTGTTTCTGTTGGTGTGTTTGAATGTTACATTTAGCGTTGTTTCTCTTCAGTAGCTTTTTCTATTTGACCATATTTAGGTTTTAAAAAGATCTAGTCACAATGTATGTTTGAAAAACATAAAGATATGAACAAGAGATGGATAGCTCCATCTGTACATCTCTTACTAGCATACAATTTATTTTCATAATCTTTTACCTTATCTTTTAATTGTTTTTCCCCTATTTCATTCCATTGAATAAATATTAAACTGTTTGTGAAATTTCTACTATCATTTGCTGTTTTCATCTTCTAAATATTCTTTCTTTCTTTCCTGGCTTTCTATGCATGAAACTCTTTTTTTGTTTAGGATTTGACATTTATTTTATAATGCTTACATAAATTATTTAAAAAGTTATTCATATTTTTATGTTTTCTTCAACATCGAGTCTCATGTTTACATTCTTTGATTCTATTCTCATTTTAGTTATTGTATTGGTTTTTGCATATCTCCTTTTTTTTCACTCTAGTCTTAGCCAGCATTTTTTCTGTTTTCCTCTTTTGTGTTTTGAAATTGTAAGCCTGTAAGTGTAGAACTATGTATTTTATTTAAACACCATTCCTAATAAGTTTAGTTCCATACATAACCCACTCTAATTTACAGTACATCAGTTCAATAGTTGCTCCTCTTGTACAGTTGACCATATGGATTTAAACATTATAAAACAGCTATTAAGGATATACTTAACTGTATAAATTTACACTATAATCTTGGGTTTTGTGGATTTAAAAAAAAATCTTGAATCCCTAGGTGGACTGCACACAGCATGCTGCAATCTGCTCAGAAAATCAGGTGCGAGGTTATCCAACTCTGCTTTGGTTCAGAGGGGGAGAAAAGGTAAGAATATTGTGAATTGGGCTTGTTTGTAAAATTACAGATTTACTTTTACACGATTGCTTGGGCTAGATTATTTTTAGGCCTATATCAAATGTGATTATGAAAACCTGGCACTTTAGTTGTTGAAGTTAAATTGTTATATTATTGAATCATAACACATAAGCATGTTAGACAAAGATAAATTTTGTTGTAAGAGTTCCAATCTTATTTATGCTGAATTTACAAAAGCAATCTTTTCTGAACTCTGGATTTCACTAGGAAGATAAAAGATGGTCACGATAGCCTTCAGGCAAAGTGTAAATGAAGAAGTCTCATTGGAATAATGAGATCTTAGTTCTTTTCCTCATAAAGGCCTAATAATAAGATTGTTTTTACCTGTTGAATGTATTCTTTAGTTTAAGCCATTTCCTTTATTTTCTGGCACTGTCGTCTTCTGCCATTTCGGATTCATTTTCCTAGGAGTAAAAAAAACCTCTTCCTTTTGCCCATGTATATAGCTGCAGTCAAACTACTCCCCCACCCCACCCCTAAAACTCCGATCTTGATTTGCCTAATGTCCATTTAGGCCTAATTAAACCAAATTCTGATTTCAGTATGACTCCCTCAAGTGTTGTTCAGCAAAGAATCATAGTTTCAACACATTCAGATTTTCAAGGTTTTTAAAAATAATTAAGCTAGAAATCCAGCTATATCAAAGGCATTGGTAAAATAATATATTTATCAGCTATTGTATCCTGCAATAACTATTTAAAATAATCATATTCTAATAGGACATTAGAAAATGTTTGCTAAGCTAGCAATAATTGTGATTTGATTTTAGGTTGACCAATACAAAGGAAAGAGAGATTTAGATTCTTTGAAAGAGTATATTGAATCTCAATTAAAAGATTCCAAGGAAGCCATGAATGATGCTAAACCCACCAAAGCACCTATAGAAACAACTCCTGAGGTAGGTCTTTGGAAAGTTATTGCATTAAAGAGATTTTTTTCCCTCTCACTAAAAATTATTTTCTTTTGGCAAGGCTTCCAAATATATGCCTGTATTTGCAAAACCAAAATAGTTCCTCATTCTCACTTTGTTTGGCTACTCATATATTGTACGTATATTTAAAGGCAGTATGTTTACTTCCTGTTGGATGGCAGCAAATTAAATTTCCCTGCTTTTTTTTTACTCAGTCATCATCCTTGTGACATCATACTCTGTTGCCAGGTTGAGATACTCAGAAGTATTTTCTGTCTTAGTATGTGACCCAGCAAGGTGACAGGGTACAAATGGACAGGTCAGACGGGATAACAATAAACAAGACTGTCCGAAAAGAAGAACCATGGGAAAACGAAGAGATCACTGGACCAAAACCAGTAAAAAGTTCATTAGCATTTCCATAATTTTAAATTCAATTCATTTCAACATCTGTTTACCTATCACACAGTTTTAACAGCAATGGGTATGGAAAGATGTTGCACCAGTTCGCCTTTAAAGAATTTGCCAGTGTGGCATCAGAATGTTCCAGAGAATTCTGGAACATTCTGTTTCTGTTTGGATTATGCTGTTCCTGGAGCTACCCAATGTTGCATATCCATAATAAAGGGCTTATAATTAGGATCCTGGGTAAGGCAATTTGACTCTAACCTTTATTTCTTTTTATAGGGCAAAGTTCTTTCCCTCTCTGAAAAAGATTTTGATAAAGAAGTAGCTAAGGGGATCACTTTCATCAAGTTTTATGCTCCATGGTAAGTTTTCAGAGAAAAAAGTATACTACAAGTATTTAACTTCTGTTTCTCTTTTTGTTGTGAAGCATATACTACCAGCCAAGCTATCTACTTCATCCTATAGAATTGGAAAATATAGCATAGAATAAATGACTAGTTTTATATAAAGGTAATTGTTTCCTGTTCTGGTGACATCAATGGAATCCTTGAGATAAACTGAAGTTACCCATAGTTAACTTTTAATTTGATAGCTATGAATAATTTGTGATTACAGTTTAGTGTTAGATATTAGGCAGAATTGTTTAATTTTATTAAAAGTGTAATGTAGTCTTCCATTCATAGACATCAGTGTTGAAATTTTTACGTCTTGAGTGTGTGAATCTCAAGGTTGCCTGTAATATACTTTGCCTCAAGGAGAATTAAGAATGTTTTTTTTCTGTTATCCAGCTGCATGTAACTCAGAGAACTGTTTGTTCCCTTGCAAGTATTGGATTTAATTTAGTCTATGTCAGTGTCAGAAATTATAGGGCTTTGAAGTCTGTAATATGAACATTTTGAAGACTAATTCACATGAACACTTGTAAAGTTTTATTGCTTGATAATGAATACAGATAGTTTAACTTTGCTAAAAATAATTGATTTAATCAAGATTTAGTCTTACAGTAATAGTAGGAGTTAAGTTAATGATGACATTGATTTTATTACATTGCTTCTGATTATGTTGGATTCAGCGTATTACTCTGATAGGCTTTACCTTCGTTGGTAATTTTGTAATAATCATATATACTTAATGATCAAGTGATTAAATATGAGTTTGTAAACTGGTCTAAGATTTTATGGGTGATTATAATGGGATCTGTATTGTTCAGTGGTTTGAATTTTACTCCAATTGAGAATAGACCATCTTTGGGCACATATGTAACATTTGTGCTCATATTCATATTGTCTGAAGCTTCCCATCTGACCCATCCTAGCAGTACCTTACAATAGGTGAAGAAATATTGAACTTTGGGGAATAGGCGTATATATCTTTCACTTATAAAACTATGATGGCATGAAATTGGGTCATATTCTTCTCTGTTCCATATGAACTATTACATATTTGTTTAAGTAGCCAAGAGTTTGTGGAGGCTACTTTTGCTGTTTATTTTAACTAAATATTTACATTAAGCTGAGTAACAAGAAGTACATCTTATCTTAGTAGCTTTCAATATATACAATCCACGCCTGTAATGCACACTCTGCATATACAGCAAGCTTGTTTAAAAGGACAATTTTATTATCTGAGATAATGATAGGGAACAGATGGCATGTACAAAAGTACAGTATGGAACAGTTGAATAAATTCTTTTCAAGCTAGATGTCATGAGAGTTTAATAATTTATATGTTAAATTCAGCCTTTAACTGCTAGTTTATGAAAATTGTTTTGTAAGAAGAATATTAATTTTATACGCTTATTCCAGTGCTATTTATTATGGAAGTGATCACTCCAGAATTTATATAGTTTACATTTTGTGATGTAGCTCAGGGTTTATAAAACTGTTTAACACTTACTGGAATGTATTCATGATGTAATAGTTCAAATGGGGAAATTTATAAAAAATAAATCAGATTTTCAAGTGCCATTTTCAATAAACTATTTGCAAAAAAAAAAGATTAGAATTTATATGGCACTGATTAAATATTTCTGATAAAATTTAGTCGTAATTGTAACTATACTCTTTAAAGGAAATTTACTTAGGGGAATACTGGAAAGAAATGTAGAAATCAATATAACAGACAGAACTTCTCAAAACATTGACCTTACTTATGGATGTAATTATTTTTATTTATCAAGCTAGTAAAGAGAAGCTAGCAGCTTAAAAGAGAATAATCTTCAAAAGAAAACTAAATGTACAAAATACCAAGTATACACAAAGTAAATTGGTACTTAAAAATTTGTGAACCTTTTGAATTTTTGCACTATTATGACCTAAAATGTGCTCTTTTCTTCACACAAGTCCTAAAACAAAGATAAACTACATATTTATCTTTGTTGTCCAATTTTTAAGCACCACTTTCATTTTTAATTGCTTTTGAGCTGCTAAGAAGTTATATATTGTATTATATTGTAACTTTTAACTAATGCATTTGTATATGTAGCATTTTACACATACATGTCTAAATGCTTTATTTCTGCCTTTTAAAATTTAGAGTTTGCTAGAGCAGTAATGGTGAATTTTTTGGGCTTTTTTTTGTAAAAAAATTTAGAAAATGCCTAACTTGATTCTGCTGGGGTGTCACCCCCCCTCCCGAACAAAAGAGAAACAATTATCGATCTCTCCCCCCCCCATCTAGGCCACTCAGTAGCAGCACTGAGGCTGCGCATGAGGTAAAGGCTGGAACTTCAACTTCAGCCATTGTGCCACTGCTGCCCTTCAAAAAGGTTGCCTCACAGTCTTCTCCAGGACCCACAAGGCTTGGGGAACAGACGATTGCCCCCACAGTCCATAGGTGCTCCCCAGGATCTGCCATGTGCCACTTACCTTCAGGCAGTGTTGTCTTTCTACTGAAGGGCCTCTGGGTTGCACCAGGCTCCCAGTCTTGAAGTATCTTTGGAGAAGGCTCTTCCACAGCTTCTGAAGCCACAAAAACTTCATGCGCACCCCATTCTCATACAATTTTCAGAAGCTTCAGAGGCCACACAGAGCACACTCCATTCTTGTGCAGTCTCCAAAAGTAGTGTGGAAATAGGGTGTGCTATTTGAGAATAGTTGTCAGGAGGTGATGAATGCTGCCGTGTTACCCAAAACATTGTGGCATGTCACCTTTCAAAGATTTGTCATAGGTTTGCCATCATTGTGCTTGAGTCAGTGGTAAGAGAAAAGCCTTTCTCATCCCATTCAGCAAAATTTAACTTCTTTTAAAGTACCTTAGAAAAAGTTTTGTTTAAATGGTACATTCTTTCCACTGTCCTTAAGTCAGATATTATATAATCTGAAAGAACACAAGAGCTGTTGAAATAGCTTACTTTTACACTGCAACAGAAAATGATGAAATACAGGTTTCCAGACTGTTTGGCTTGTTATTGATCCTCTCCCTCCCCAAATACCAAGAGGGGAGTGTGTTTTGTCTTAGATCTTGCATTTCAGAAGCATTTTCAAATTCTCCAAACTTCTGTTTTCCAAAAAATATTGCAAAATTAAGGCGATTGTGCCATATTCTCCTAAATCTAGAGAAAAGCAATCTCCTGAATCCTTCATAATGAACTTATCAGATTCAAAGGGAGTAGTTGAATACTTATGAACCTCTGGTAGAGTGATACAAATTTCTACTCATGAAAAATGGGTGGTGATTCTTATAAGTATAATGACGTAGATGTGATTTAAGTTAATTTTCTGTCATCAGATATGAATTGGATTGCCTGAAGTACTTCATATTTACATCTGCATTTAATGTTCTTGTGTGACTAATAAGAGACTGTATTGTGATATGCCTAAGCTGGATTTTCTTTCAATTTTTTTTCTTTTTTTTAAGTATTTCTTACATTAACCATCAAAACCAAAATAAAATTTACTCATCATTTCAGGTGTGGACATTGTAAAAACCTGGCTCCCACATGGGAGAACCTCTCAAAAAGGAAATTTCCAGGACCAGTGGATGTCAAGATAGCAGAAGTAGACTGCACTGCTCAACGCAATGTCTGCAACAGATTTTCTGTAAGTACAAGGCTAGATGGTATTCCAGAGTTTGTCCTAAACGTTGAAATTGCTAGTGGCCATTAGTTTAGTCCAGGGGTGGGAACTATGGCCCTTTTATGACATGCTAGCTCAGGAATTCTGGGAGTTGAAGTCCACAAATCATAAAGGAGCCATAGCTCCCCATCTCTGGTATAGTCAGTCCAACTGCTTTATTGTTAAAGCCATATACTAGGATTTAAAGGGTTTCCTCATACCTGTTATACAAGGTCAATATGCTGGAGATCTTGAAACATCTAGAAAAGGGCAAGCCTAGTTAGTACTTGGATGGCAGACTTCTGGGAAATCCCTAGGACTATAGCATTAGGAAATTAAAAGGGCAGAAGATGGTCAAGACAAATAATGTCTATATTGCTGCCAAAGAAAACAACAGAGATTTACCTTGACTTAAATATGCCTTAGACATGTATAGAATTGCATTTAATGCAACCGGAATGGTGGTGATGGGGTTCTGCTAATGAATATATGCTGAATAAGGTGATAAGATTAAAATGATGGTGTTTTCTGATTTCTTTTTTTTTCTCTTTCTGAAGGTCCATGGCTACCCAACACTCTTACTTTTCCGTAGTGGTGAGAAAATAACTGAACACACAGGAGCCAGAGATCTCGAATCACTGCACAACTTTGTTCTGGGTCAGGCCAAGGATGAACTGTAAAATTGTACCTGCTTAGTTGCTGCTTCTTTAGCTGGGTCCAGTAAACTCTGAAGTTGAACCATGGTAATGTTATTGGATTTCCAATAGTGGTTATGCGGGAAACTGGATGTTCTAAAATGTGGTATCGTCTATGCATACGTTTGTGTTTTCTATTATCTACTCTGCTAAACTTGAGGGAAGATTACAACAAATAGTAACTGTTCAAATTAGGAACCAGTATTTATGGTATTGGTTACATCAATGAATTTCCACTTGTCCTATGATGAAAAAATTGTGTTTTGAAACAAAAATTAAGAGAAAAAAAGGCTTAACATCAGGACACATTAGTTTCACTGCAGATAACACATTAGTACAATATCGGCTACATAAAATTTGCAGAGTTTAATCCCCATTTGTCAACCTGTTGCATCACTATCTTAATCTCCTTCAGAAACCAAATTAGAAGAAATTCTAAAGCACACAGACAGACAAACACTTAGGAAGCTATCCCTGGCTATTTGCTTTCTGTTGTTGTCTCCTCTCATGAGGATGTGCAATGAAAATTAATGGTACTACAGATGTCTAGATATTGGACGATGCTACTTCTCAGCTAAGCTCATACTCCATTTAATTAAATTGAATGACTTGGCTGTCTTCACGTAGATTTGATGTTCATTTCAATTCCAAAGAGTATAAATAAAATTTTACTGGGTGAGGATTGTCCCCTATTTACAACCTGTCAAATTCAGATTAGCTAGGATCCATGTTTACATATGAACAAGTAAAACTTTAGAAGTCTATGAAAGACCTTCTCTTTTCCCAGGTCCACAGTAACAAAGAAATCAAACTTGCTTATAGAATTTTTCTAGAAGATTTGTAGGTTTGTATATTCTCCAGCCCCATCCAATCTTGTTTCCAATTTAGTATGCCCTAAGAGAGAGAATTAAAGCCAAAGATTTTCTTGTGCAAGTAGTGATACAAGATCGAACTATAGCAGCTAAATCTTGATCTAATTTGCATATGGATTATTGCCATCTTTACGAGTTACGGGTCATTATCTGCAGGTCTATACAGAAGATATACAATATTCATAGCCATGTCTAGATGCTCTGTTTTGTACTCTAGTTTGTCCTTCCTTCATTTTTTGAAGGCTAGAGAATTTGTCCAGAACAAAGCTGGAAAAAACATTTGTGAATTATGGAAGTTAACTGAAAGGGCTAATCACATAAGGCAGAGAAATCAACACATATTTCTGCCTTAAAAGGAGCTTTTATTCATTTTAAAAACCTAAAGAAGCACAATCTTATGAGCTGGCTAAGTTGTAATTCATGAGTTTCTTGTACAAAATCAAGTGGTACAATTGTTTACACAATTTCTGAATAAATTTTTTTTAAAAAATCATGGTCTTACTAAATAATACATCAAAGTTAATATATCCGATGACTGCAATAAATTATACCTTTAGTTATTTACAAAAATCTTCTTAAAATGAAAAGTAGTCAAAGGGAAGTGCACTTTGTTGAAATTTTGCCTGGGCATTTATCTGGAATCTGACATTAGAATAAGTATCATATACCATTTGAATGTATTTTTCTCAAACTAAGGATATGCCCCATTATTACGAGTAAATGTAAAGCAGTTCTACTTCTCTGACTGCAGCTTTGCCTCAGTTCCACCTTGTCAACTTACATTATTCTGAAGAGCAATCGGGTAAGTGTCTCTTCTTTAGTAAACTTAGTATGATTCATTTTCTTTCCCATTTGAGGAAACCAGATTTTTGGAAAAACATGTAGTTTGAAACTTCTCAGTTCCTCCATATGTCCAGTGGAGTTACATGTTTTTTGTCTAAGGAATAGATTCTGGGTTCATGTGCACATTTGGTCATGGTGCCAAAATACTAGGAAAGTTGGTTAGGATTAGCAATAGGATGTAACGGTAGGAAATGCCTTTGAAAATAACACAGAAGCATCTTCCTATCTGTCTAATAAGCTTGCCTCCAAAACAACCCCTTGTCCCCAAAATGGTAGCTCAAAGAAGGTTGCCCTAATCAGATTATTAAGAGACATATGACCAATTCTTTTTTATTTGAAAGGATAGTGTATAAAAGCTGTCTTTAGCTTCTAAAGGAAGCAATTTAAGTGAAACAGTTCATCAAAACAGAAGACATTTTCTTGCAGTAGTTTCCAGGATCTCACATATTCGGTTTTTATGCCTTAAGGGTAAGCAAAGATAGTTTTGTTAACTTCTATGTGGTTGTAATTTCAAGTTAAAATTGTGCTTTTTATTCCTTAGATTCCTGTTTTCTTCTTGAGATATTATCCAAAATGTGAGGGACGCTTGTTTAGTAAGACTGAAATGTAGTTGAAACATCAGGTTGCTTTTGTCAGATCAGTCTATATTCACAGGATCCATATTTTATAACTTGCTCTGGCCTATTTAAAACTATAAGATCAAAAAGCAATTACTGTGCAAATATTTAACAAGTAGTAACAGAATTCTTTGCTTTTCATTATTCCTTCTGAAGGCACAAATGCTGTTCCAGAAGCATTAGATTTTCCTTTTGCTGCTTCTTGTAAAGATACTTTGTCAGTGACACCCACAAGCTCTTACCACCATATTCCTGTATTTTTTCAAAATGACGTTGGAATTGTCATCAAAGTAAAGAACTGAAATTGCATTAAGTTTTGTAGGAGCACAACATGGTTTAGGAACATTCTCCGGATTCATTAGGTGAACCTGTTTAAAAAAATTGATAGTATTACCTGTAATTTCAATTCAGTCCTTCCTAAACTAAACTTTTATCTGAGCCACCTGAGATTGCAGCATGTTTATAAGAGTACTCCATGTCTTCATAGCCACCCTATGCTCTTATTCAATTTTGCAAAATTTGGTAGCCTATACTATTATTTTTAGCTACTTAAAGTTAGATGCAGTTGTACATTTTCATACAAAGTTAATGAAATCAGAACTTGCCCATCTTAGGTCTTCCTCTGCTTTCTATAATCCTGCTAGCCTTCCCACCTCTAACATTGATGACTTAATTTATTAATGTCAAGATTATCTTCTTATTTCTATGGAAGTTTAAGTTAGCCAACAGATATGCTGGAGAAATCAGCTACGTAACAACTTCAGGAAGAAAGACACAAGTTTAAATTCTTCATAACAATTACAATTATGAGCCATGCAATAACACATATACTTACCAAAGTTTGCACAATGGCATGATTTGTGGCATTCATATGAGCATTGAGAGGGAAAGAGCATTCTCCATCACAGTAGTTTGCTGCATAACCCTTTGGTGCAATTATCCAATCCTTAACAAGAATATTATATGGGTTAGAACAACTCAGGTTAAATATACATACAACAAGGACACTGAAAACAGTGTTTCTCTATGAATTTGCAGGATGTTATAAAATTGTTTACTATTTCTTGAATTTTAGACAATATAATAATAATTTCTGTAGTATCCGGAGGATCTAGTCCACGACTCGGCGGAAAATCAGGCGGCGGCCTGGGAGACAACTGCTGCCGCAGCATTGGACCGAGTCGTGCCTCTGCGGCCTCTGACCCGACGTGGATCTCGACCATCCCCTTGGTTTACCGAGGGGCTGAGAGAGATGAAACGTCGGAAAAGACGCCTAGAGAGCAGTTGGAGGGCCAGCCGAACCGAATCCGATCGAGCACAGGTAAGGATACATCTTAGATCCTACCTTGTGGCGATGAGGA